TATATGGGAACCCAAAGACATTTAAAGGACAACCTGTAACTGTTACAGGTCTGGGAGGGAAACAAATTGAAGCTGTACAAACTGAAATAGAAATGAAAATAGGAAACCTCCCAAAACGACTGTATTCAGTCATGATTGTCCCCATTCCTGAATACAGAATAGGAATAGACATTTTGAAGGGACTAACTTTGAATCTCCCAGATGGTCAGTACCAGTTTGGGGTGAAAAATCATATCCGTATTAGAACAGTTTTAGTAGGAAAAGTGAAAATGCCTCCTGTACAGATTCCTGCTGCTACTAAATTAGTGACTGTGAAACAATATATAATTCCAGGAGGGCATGAGGAGATATCGCAGACAATTAAAGATTTATTAGATGCAGGAGTATTGAAACCAGTTACCACAGCTTGGAACAATCCGGTACGGCCTGTCAAGAAAAGTGATGGGTCATGGAGAAGGACAGTAGATTTTAGGGAATTAAACAAACACACCCCACTGCTTACGGCAGCTGTACCAGATACTATTACTTTAATAGAAAAGGTTCAAAAGCATTCAGGGACTTGGTAGGCTGTAATAGATTTAGCTAACGCCCGGTGCCTAATATTGTGAAAGGACAACAAATTATATTGGACCTTTACCCCAGGACCGAGAGTGTAAATATGTCTGCGCTGCTGTAGGTACATATTCTGGATAGTTGATTGTCCATACTTGTAAGAAAGCTACTCGTCACAGTGCTATCTGCACTATAGACATAATAATTTTGGACTATGGAATTCCATTGCAGATTCAAACTGACAGTGGGTCTCATTTTCGAAACGAATTTGTCCAACAGTATGCTGAGCAGCAAAGTAGTCAGTGGGGTTTTGAGATACAGTACCATCCACAAGCTGCAGGATTGATTGAACGAACCGATGGGTTGTTGAAAGAGCAGTTGAAGAGGCTACGAGATGGGAACCTATCCCAATGGAAAACTCATTTCACCGATGTGCTACACATTCCTAACAATAGGACCGTTGGGGAAATGGAAACCCCTCTGATGCGCATGACTACATCCAATTTGCAAATAAAACCTCTGACAGTAAGTGAGACTTTGACTGAGTGGGAAATTGTTCCGGGTGCGATGGCCCCTTACCGGGCCACTCCAGAGGCTGCAGGGCTAGATCTGCATGCGTTGGAATTGATCGGGATAAACCAAAAACGGATGAGACTTATCAGGACTGGAATAGGAATTCAAATTCCTCCGGGACACCTTGGTTTGATAACTGCTTGTTCGAGCCTAGCCTTGAAAAATATTCATGCCATGGGAGGAGTGACTGATGAAGATTACCAAGGAGAAATTAAAGTAATTCTGTTAAATAATGGTGAACACGATTTGCTTGTTCATCCCCATGACAGAATAGCACAATTATTGATACCGCCAGCTTTGAAAGCAATTGTGGAAAAAGGGGATCCACCTCAAGTCACCACTCTTCTTGGAGATAAAGGGTTTGGATCAACTAATTTCAATAACGGAGCTGAAGTATAGGTCCAGACTTCAAGCGGACCTCCTGAACCAGCTGAAGTAATAGCCACAGGAAAAGACAATACTGTTTTAATCATGAAACCTGCACAGGAAAAATGGGAATATGTTCCTGCAACTAAATGTTATCTGCGAGAACAACAGGATGTCTCAAGATTCTACATTTTAGATCCTGCTAAGATGGATTTGCCTGTGTGTCGTCATGGTCCATTTGGGAAAGGCTTTTACCCCAGGATGGCCACTGGAAGGTCCATGAGAGACACCGCCTAGGTGGCAACGGAATAATGCAACCAAGACAAGACAACAGGATGATTTCCAGTGCAAAGCCACTTCTGCCTGTATCATAGCCAATCTTACTTTCCGTATTCAGTATGTAACGAAACATGTACGTTCTGGTGGCCTTCAGGACCAGCATCACGATGGAGAGATCGTGGACGTCTTTTTGTAACCTGTCCTACAGATAATTCGAGCGTCACTATATCTAGTAAAGCATCTCTTAAATGTTGTAATGTGTCAGGTCTACCCAGTTCGAAATATTACTACAAATGTGTTAATCGAACAGGTGGTCATGAGGTGAATGCTACTCATGCAATAACCCTTCCCATGGAATAAACAGAAACACTAATATGCCGTAATAATTCAGTAATGAAAAATCAGTTACACTGGGGAGACTTCTTTACTACGTTAAAATCTAAACCTCCTCTTTCTGTTGATCATTTGTACCGCATTCCGTCTACCTGTGTTCAAGTGGCTCAACAATATCAGAGACATGTTATTCATTTCACCATTTCTTTCCACCCGCTAGGAATCGAACCCATAAATTAGGTTTGTGTACGTCCACAGCAAATGGTGTATTGTGTGGACAAAGCTCGTGGTTATATGAACCATGTTTATTGGAACATTCAGTGAATCTGTGTAAACGGACAATCGTGCCCAAAAGCTTTGATATGTTTCTAAAAATTAGTGCTAAGCATGTTTGCACAGTGATGAATGATAAAAAGATTATAGAAATGTATCATCTAACTGCTCCATTTTCGGGATGCCTCAGAAATGTATTCTATCTCATCTGGCACGGACAGATGTATACTTTTTATTCAGCGCATGAAGAACAAGTAAACATGTACGGACATCCCCAAAGCCCAGGACTTAATGGAATCAGCTTATCTCTGTCTCCACTGAACACCATCATGGAACAGTCAGAACATTTGTGACGACACCTAGAACGGCGAAATAAAACTCTGTCAGACTCTGTGATACAGACTGTAATCACAAAGAATCAACTGATGTCGCTAGCGAGCCAGACGGAGAAGGAGACGGCACACCACTGGTGGCACACCTTTACTCGATATTCACCCTCTGCAACCCAAGTGTTGAACTTTTTAATACATCCTCTTGTAATATTGTTACTTATCATTATTATTGCTACTTTATATAATTGTTATGTATGGTATGGTATCAAACGGATAGAACGAACATATTGGGCTCTTCCAAAGGGGTTGTGATCTTCACTCATAAGTCAAAGGACCGACTGAAACAAAAAAGGCCCAAACAGTGGGCCTCAAACCAAAGTTGACATCTGAGTGAATCCCCCGACCAGCAGCCAGCATCTTATCAGCATGAAATGCAGCCCTGGGAACAACCCCTGAACACAGTCAGTAAACAACAGGAAGTAACTATAAATCCCCAATGTAAAGAAAAACAGAAGCTCCTCAGACGTGCCCGCATCCTGGCCAGATCCGGACACGCCTGAGCGAGGCATGTCAACCTACCAGCTATCTCCCGTGCATTTTGTATAGATTTGTTTGTTAAACTGTGTAAAAGCTGGGCCCTCTCACAGCACAGATGGAGACCCCACCTACGAGTGGACGCCCTGCGTGGGACTTCCCAATTGCCGGGAAAGGCTCTCCGGCCCTTCGCTGTGACGGGGCTCCCCAGCTGAGGCACGGGTCGGGGTGATGGTAAAGTCTGAGGGCAGTTGGTGATGTATCTTTCTTAATCACTATGTTTCTTAATCACTTGTTTGTTCTTTCTGCTGTTTTAAACTAAAGTAAAATAATCCCATTTCTTTAGCTTGGTGTCTGTGTCCTTTGTGTTAACCTTGTCATTTTGCCACTCAGAGGAATTCTGACTGGAATCATATTGGAAGAGTCGGTTGCAGGGCATTACAGTATTTGTCACTCTCCCATACCTACCTTTGCTAAAGTAAAGCTCCTCCACTTGCAAAAACCCGGTAGATCACCAGCCATCAGGTAAGACATCTCACAGCCCTAAAAATGGAAGGTTTTATAAACCGGGTGTATGAAATGATGCCACTTCAGACTATTTCAGCTGCAGGTAGCAAGTGCTCTTGTAAAATTTCCCCAGGACCTAGTAAAAATCCTCCAGGACAGGATATTCTCTTTTTTGATGGGAGGCGATGTGGCTGAAGTTCTTCCTTTTAATTACATTCTGCAAAAATGTGTTGATTACTTCAAAAAATGCCTGTGTCATACCCTGGAATCTAAGCAGAAGGCAGAGCTGGCAAGCAAAGCCTCGCCGGAGAATGTTCAGAGGGCCCCACCAGCTGTACCACTAGATGCCTCCAGATTCGTTCTGGCCTCATGGCGTTAAAGACTTCAATACTCTGACTCTTTGAGTAACCTAGGAATGCGCTTCGAATGTCCTTCTCTGGATTTTGAAGGATTCCTTTTGAAGCAAGCTACAGCCCTCTAACTCTGTGGGGAACAGGTAGGTATTTGTGGGTGTGTCAGCATTGTAGCCAGAGCAAAGGTCTGTGTCACCTACAAGATACAAATGTGCTAATCAAGATTAAATTAGAAAGAGCTTGCCTTGAACCTGAATATAGGTGTACTAAATTGCTATAACAATGGCAAGTAAGTTTTTTGTAATAGTCTCCTCCAAGCACAATTTAAAATCAGGATATGATCGGTATGATCATTCAAAAGGCAAGGTGGGTGAAATTGCACAAAGGAGGCACACAAGTATCAAAAGTGGAGAAAAAAGGGCAAGATAAGCATCGGGGCATGCAGGGCATCCTCCCAAATACAGAAGGATGAGTGTCAAGACAAGAGAAATTAAAATAACCAACACAGCAAGCAGAAAGGACACCCTACTGCCCACCCTGCTATTTTTGTAAAGAGGGGGCCATAGTGTAAAAACTGGCACGAGCAAGGAGAGCAAGAGAGGAAAGAAAACACGGTGTGGTTCTGATTTGTCTCTCTGCTGCTCACCGTGACCTCAGGACAAGGAACCACCAAGGACTCTGGCCATACGGATTCACTATATGGCATCAATTCCATGGTACTGTATACCCACAGCTAATTTAGAGTATCATTGTGCAAGACTAATACACATCGAATACGATTGTATCAGACTTTAGTATAAGTACAGGTATCGAATAATGTGTAAGAACTGCCCGGTGTGGTGGTAATGAATTCATTCAATGCAGTTTGAAACTGGTCAGATTTGCCAGTCTTCTAAACTTGGTCATCAAATCAATCCCAAATTCTCTGAGATATATAAATGATACAAATTATATAGATATAGCTATCAGTACAGGTGTCGGCATAGGTGTAGGCATGGGCATAGACATAGGAGTAGATACAGGCATAGATACTTACACATAGAGTCTGTTGTAACAGTATGCATAGGAGCAACTATTTTGGAGCAGGTGTCGCATCTCCCAGGAAAGGAACAAGGCCTCTATTGACTTACAGAAAAAACAGAAAATGATGAATTTAAGCCAGAGAGGATGAAGAGGGCAGCCACTTACTATTATTAGGGATTTGTTCTGTATGGAAAATCACTACCTAATCAAAAAATCTACTTCAAAGTCATGATGCTTTTCTGACATGTCAGTTGATAGGATTCCATTCTTTCATAGCAAAGCTTTCAAGCTGCTTTACAGAAAGAAAACCAGCTACTGATCCAAAGAGCAGGAAAAGAAGCAAAACAGCCACTCCACCATACAGGTACAGTGTTGGAAATATCAATAGGCACATGATCTTTCCATCTGTTTTTATTCCTGCTGCTAAGAGCAAAGTGGCATTGATATTTTTCTTAAATCACAAAGAGCTGTATGAAAAGGAGAGGATTGCTGAGGTCTAAAGAAAAGAGGAATGCAAAAATTAGGAGAGAGTTTCTCAAAAGGCTGGGAAATTAGGAAAACAGCAGGTGGAATATGAAGCAGAGTTTGTGGCAGTGCCATTAGCTGAGGGGTTGAAAGCATAGGATAAGCACAGCTGGCAAAGAGGAGTAGCATATCTCCAGCAGTGGCCATACCCAGAAAAGGACACTTACCCTCCAAGGGCAGCAGTTCCCCATGTGGCCAGGAGGCCCAGTACCATGGCAAACCCCTCTGCACCAAGTGAAAGCACAAGGGAATTTTCTTGAAATGTATCGAGAAGGTATGCAAGAAAAAAGGGGAAGCTGTGGCAGAAGTCCTAAGATGTTAAAAGTCTCCTGTGAGCTCATAGTCCAATGTAGTTCATTCGCTGTTTCCAGTTTATATTGTTTAAAATAGCTCATTATGGCTTCATTTTTGTTTGCCAAGACCTCACAAACTCAATTTGAATCATCAACTTTACTCCCGATTTATTGAGGCGTAACTGGGGTAGAATTTGACCATATGTACCTTAGAATCCCCACCAATTTAAAACAAAACAAACGAAAACCCCACATGATAATGAAAGTTTAAGCAGCAGTCAGTAGTCAGGAGGACATGGTTAATTTAACTAAAATATTTGGGCTCTAGTTAAAGTCAACCCACGGTAATGCAACTGCAGCATCCCGGCCCGTGGCTGGAGACAAAATCAGTTTGAAAGTTTGTTTAAAATAAAAGCTAACAAAACTCCAGCCACATTGTCTGTACTCCTCCATCTCCGTGCTCTTAGTTTCTAGCCTCCCATCCCCCATTCTTTTGTTTTCTGGGATTTGATACCCTCCAGCCTCCTACACAAAAAGATGCTTCTGCCTTGGGAACCCTCTTCCAACAGCCAGCTGCCTGAGGAAACCCTAATTTTCTTTCCACTCTCACTGTCCTACACCTTTTATCAAGCAATCCAGTCCCCAAGGCTCCCTTTTCCTCCAGCAAGTACCTCTGCACCTTCTTAAGTTGCACAGGGAACAAACCTCCCTTCTGCCACAAGCCTTGTCCCCTTTGGCACTGTCTGTCTTCTAACTGCAGGCTCCAGGCTCCAATCCTGAATCCAGAGATTTTCAGTATGTGCTTTTCCTAGACACTTACAAGACAGATATAGAAAGCATGTCATTCAACAGCCGTTTTTGCTCTATCGTCCTTTCAGAACTAAGACAGTTTGCATTTAAATTAACTGGAACTTGACTTGTCATTCAAACCAGCTATTGGGGCATTGTCTTCTTGCAGATGTCCTCCAGCACATAACAGTACAGCGTATGGAGGAGTTGGGGCACTGCACTTCAGGGTAACTTCTTCGCTCCATTATGAATAGGGTTACACTTGCACATTAACAGATCGAGAAAATCTCAGTCCTGAAGAGTGGTGAAGTTTCACACACTCCTTTCTCATTTTAAGAGACAGAAATCAAAGGAATTTGGGGCCAAATACTTTAATGAAGGGAAACATTTTGGAAAGGAGGCTAAATCCTGATTTGCAGAGCTTTTCTAATTTGTATTGCCCTATAGCGTTGCTGTAAGCTGATGTCCTTGTATCAGACCTCTCCTTACCACAGGGGTGAGTTCCATAGGTGCTTCATTTTCCTCAGTTATTGCAATGTTCCGGTCCTTGGCCATGGGTAGATCAAGTCCTGCAGGTGAGAGGTATCAAAGAGCAGTCAGAATGACAAGGTTGAAAGATGCAACTCAAAAACACAGCAGTGGAAGGAAAAGCATGAGAGCTAGTAGGTTACCGAGCAAAACACTCCATCGTTCTCTGTCCTTTTATATTATCCTCTCCAATATCTTCACCCTTGTTACAGCTTTACATCACCTGTGTTTAGTAGTGCTACATCCACGTGCTGCCACAGTCCACAGCAAAACAAATTCATTCCAGACCAGGTGTGAGAACACAACCTAATTTCCTTCAGTCTAGTCACACAGCAAAACTGAGAGCTTAGGTCAGCCTTCTGCTTTCTTGACAGCTGCAGGAGGCAAACCTCAAAAGACCACACCACAGCTTTGGAATAAGCGTCAGTGACATTTTTGAAAGGCTACTACAGGCTCCAAGGCCAGACTTGCCACATTTTCACACTTTTCTTTTGCTCTCAGTAGTTCCATTATCAGCCAGTGCACCATGGGTATGTTACTAGTATTAGTAAAGGATCAAAGTACCACTCAGGAGAATAAAGCAGGGAGGAGGCTGAAGGAACATAATTTGCAAGCACTGGGACAAGTTACCAGTGTTTCCCCATAGTTTCAAAGAGTTGGTTGATTTCAAAGGGCATTCTGCCTGAGTAACAACATGGGCCCATGCCCAGTATAGTCTACTCCTGTTGATGCCTTTAAGGGCGGCGGGGTGGGGAGGGGAATAAAAGCGTGAATAATAGCAAGATGTTTGTCAGTCGTGACAAACTCCAGGGCTGCATATCAACAGAGATCAATGCCTTCTCCTCTGCAGCAGTGTAATACATCTCTCTGCATTTGGTAACAGTCCCCACAGGCAGGTGCCACTCCTGAACTCAGTACGAGCTACATATGACAACAAATTTAGCACGGCAAGGAAGACCTCCTATTTGACACTTTTAGCACGGCAAGGGAGAACCCCTATATTCTTTGACACTGCAGCTCCCCACCACGCAGGCTGCTATTTGGAGGAAAACACAATGCAGAAGTGTGGTATTTGAATAAACCTTCTTTCCTCCAGATTCTCCAGTAGGATAATGCAACACAGATTCAGGAGCCCCTGCAACAAAATACCATGCAACTGCAGTGCAGTTTTTAACCTGCAATTGCTGAATACAAAGCACTACAAACAGAAATAGCTAAATAATAGGACAGAGTTGCGCTTTATTCTTGTGACATGTCTTTAATATTACTCAAGTCCGGGCTGTGTACATAAAAGGGACCTGCTGTAGAGGAGATTTACAGTTGCCCGACTTCAACTCGTGTTGAATAACAAATTGGAGTATCGTTAAATGCAAATAACTCTCAAGTCAAGTATTCTCAAGATGTAAAGTAAAAAACGCAAACCTCTGGGTGGCACAAAGTACTTCTGCCACAACCTGTTTTTGCTGAATCACTTTGTGACACCTGATGTTGTCAAAACAACCCTGTGTCTCCATTGCTCCTGGCAGGAAAACTCCTTTTTAGCTGTTTCAATTCTGCTGAATCAGAAGTGGTGCAGAAGGTCTCGTGAAACGTCCTCTAAAAAATATGCTCTATCGGTGGCTGGCAGCAAAGTTAAGGTTGTGGAGGGCCAACCACGGTGAAGGGACAAACTCTTACCCAGGCCCTCCACGGGAGGACGAGGTGAGGAAATGGGGTGGGAAAGCTCACGGGTCGAGATAATGTCGGGGAGGTTGCTTACCAGCTAGCGTTGTGGGAAATACAGAGTCCACTTGGGAGTTAATCCCGGTTACTGCCAAATGAAATAGACTTGGGTGGTGAGAAACCAAGGCGGACATTAAAGCAGCACCTTTCCCCCCCGTCCTGCCCAGCCCAGCACCCCCCCTGCCCCTCAGACTCCTCCAGCTCCACTGGGCACCACAGGGGCCGGGGGCTGAACGGCACTTACCAGTTTCCCTCAGCCATTCTGTCCCTCTCACTCCTCCCCCTGCTCCGGCGCGGGCTCCCCCCGGCTGCAGTGGGCACCTCGCGGTGCTGGGATCAGCTGGAGCGCGGCTGTGGCGGGACGCACCCCTGAAGCAGGAGTTTCAGCAAAGAGCAGCACAGCTCTTGAGCAGACCTGGCTGCTGGGGCTGCTGCCCCGCTAAAGGCCTCGGGGTTATTCCCATTAAAACCTGCGCTGCTGTCATGACCAGTAGCAAAGTGCCTGTGCTTACACACTGAGAAGAATTTTGAGCATAGTGGAATGAGTTCAGCCAAGGGCAATAGAGGTGACTGAGGGATGGGAGTGTCTCCTATCCGAGGACAGCCTGGGAGAGCTGGGCCCCTTCAGCCTGGAGAAAGGAAAGCTCATGGGATCTTACCAGTAAGTACCTGATGGGGACAGGCTCTATGACAGAGCCGGACTCTTCTCAGTGGTACCCAGCGAAAGGACAAGAGGCCATCAGCACAAACTGAAGTACGGTCGTCCAGCCAGGCCCCGCTGACACCAAGCTACAGCTCTTACTGTCTCCCTTTCTGCATTTTTCCTCGCCAGACAGACTCTACAAAAGTCCCCAGCATCAATAGCCCACCTCGGGTGGAAGTCAGCCTGACTGAAATCTGGAACCAAACCATTAGGTCAAAGCTTTAAAGCACAGAGCGTCTGAGAAGCAAGCAATAGGGATTATTTATTTTGAATTCACAAAGGGAAAAATAAGGATTGGAGGACTGCACCGGGGAGACACTAGAATATGATTTTGCGTCAAAGGAGAGCGTATTAGTCCCTTTGCATAATCTCATGGAAATTACTGCCTTCTAAAGTGCAGAGCATTCAGCCTTGGTAGCCCTACGTCACATAAGCCCTCAGTTTCGCAGCTGCTTGCTGCGTTCACAAGAAACACAAGCAGAGTTTTTACTCATTAAGCATAGTCATTAAGAAGACTGTCTTGGCAGGTTTTGAAAGCCGGGGTAACGTCCTGAGCTCTTGCCTGCTCTTCTTCTGGGCACGCAGTAGCCACTGAGCCAGCTGAAGTGACACAGATGATCATTTGTTGCTATCAGCATCTTTATATCAGTTTATTTTAAGATCTACCCTGTGATTACTCAAAGGTTTAAAAAGGGCAAGGCCAACTCGGGATAGCTGAGGCTACCTGTGCTAGTAAAAATGCTTCTTTGTTATTAGCAGGTGATTTCTTCTCTTTGGGAAAGCAGTTATACCAAACAGTGAGGTGATCTGAAGCCTTGTTTAGATGGGTGTGCTGCAAGCCCCAACCTCCGAGTTAATTATCTGCTTCTCCTCCTAATCAGTGGGCAGAAACAGGATTTCTTTGAAATGGTTCCAGTGACTTCAGACATCTGTTTTAATAGTTTTTGACTCGGTGCAGAGAGGCACACATTTCTTTCCAATGAAAGAAAGGCTGGGTTACTAAGAGGCAGAAGACTGCAGTCATTAATGTTATATGAGATTGTATCCACCATGAACCACCACGCAAAAATGATGTCAGCTTCGAAAAGACTCGGAATTTTTACCAGAGCTCTCATAAATTTCGGTGTCCTTCTGAAAGCTCAAGGGGAGGAGGCTATGATCAGGGATCAGTACAGACAACTATCAGCTTTCACTTAAACTAATGAGTTTGATTTGGGTTGGTTGGTTGGTTGTTTTTTTCCTCAACATACCTTTATGGAAATAAGCCTGAAAATTACCATGAGACATTGTCCTGGTTGGGGCTGGACTAGAGCTCCCGTTGGTCTGGCAGCGGGAGGAGCTGCAGCACCCTGAGACCCCAGGGGCTCCCCAGGGCCCAGTGCCCTCACCTGTGCGCGGGGGCGGGGGGAGCACAGCTGGAGGGCTGGGCCCCGATTGGCCGATATCCCCTGTCATGTGACCTTGTGCTCACTCTATAAAGGCAGGAGTGGGCTGTGAGGGGCTGCCACTTCTGGGAGTGTGGCTGTGGGGCCTTTGAGTTTGGGATTGCCAGCCGGGAGCAGGCGGGTGTCGGTCGGTCGGTCGGTCGGCGGCTGGTGAGCAGCTGTATGGCACGTTACCCGTTGGTACTGGTGTCACCGTACTATTCTGTCACTGTTCTTAAACTGTTTCTATCTCAACCCGCGAGTCTCCCTTTGCCCATCCGATTCCCTCCCCATTCCCAAGTGGGGAGAGTGGGTGACCGACTGCGTGGCATTTAGCTGCTGACCAGGCTCAAACGACAACAGACATTTAGAAAATAGATATGCGAAATGGTATCTTCTGCATGCAATGGGAGCTTAGACTCCAGCTTGAATGTTTAGGTTAGGTTTTCTTAAATACAGAGCCCAACTAAACTTCCATCAAAGGTGAATTTCTGGGTGGAAAAAGGGTATGGGTAGCTGATTTTCCTCCACATTTTTGCCAGTTTCTAGGAGGTTTTATGCAAGACCTGATTCATAAGATTATTGTCATTCTCTCTTTCTGCTTCCTTCGTTATGGAGATACCGATTCGTACTTGGGGACAAAAGGTTTTTTACCTACAGAAAAGTAAAACGAAGGTTTTTCCTCAACAACAAAATTGGTGATGGCTGAAAAACTGTTTCTCGGATTTCTTAGTTGCAGTGGATGTATTTGGCAGGAGACTAAATTAAAAAATGCTTGGCGAAAAAGGAGTGTTATCTGAGCTCCCATGTACACGGGGATGTTCCAGGAAATCTGCCTGTGAGAGTCTTTGAACTGACCAATGCTTGTTCTGTACAGCAGAGGTGGAAGACATCCATCCTTCTCCCCTTCCTCTGTTTGCCTTGCCCCAATCCCCTACCCTGGCATTGGCCAGAGCTTTTTGGGTGCTGCTTCCACAGGTGGTAGTGGTTTCTTGTGAACTGACTAAACACTTGCTGAGGTTAATCACTCTCCTCTGACCACTGTGCCAGGGAATGCAGGTAGTAAGCCGTGCTTTTTGATGCTTTTTGAATGCTGACACCCGCTTCCCCACAGGGCACCGCAAGGCTGCCCTCTGGCTTCTGGCACCCGTGCGTGTGACATGGCTGCCAACAAGTGTGCCACCGGGCATCC